CATATGACCACATATAATCTAAAGGGGACCCCTCCATTATTGACCCCATCAAACAAAATGGGTCATGGTATGGTATGCTGTACATAATCACAGAAACTGTCAGTGTGTCATTCTGTCAGTCAATCATTCTGTCTGTCCCACATTTTTCTACTCACTGACATGGTCAATCTATGTGAAACTGCACATAGGCATTGAGGACTGGCATAGGTAGAAGGTGACAAAGCTACCAATGGGTATGGACTAGTAAAGAGTAATTTTAGCCAGCATATTTTCACTTCACATTGTTGGAACAGTGCAAAGATGAACCTAGGCAGTTTTTGAGAGTTTCATTTTGGTTCTGTTGACTTCAAATAAAGTGTGTTTTACCATAATGAAATTACTGTTTATTTCAGTGGAGTCTGGTGGGTTTGGATGGTTTGGGGCATTTTCTGTTGTAGAATTGCATCAGTTTCATTTTAGGGTTAATATCAGGATTAATATCAAACCAAACAGAACGCTGCTGTTTTGGCATTCCTTGCTTTGACAGAGATGTGATGTGGGCACTTGTAAGGCAGATGAATTTGATTATATTGAGTGAATGAGATTTATAATGAGTACTGCCCCATCTTGTGCAACTAAAAGGTTTTGGCTAAACAAAAGGAAATCCCCTAAAATTCACACTGAGCATTTGTAAAGAATGCCTTTGTCCCTCATTCTCCACACAAACCATGGATGGCATTTTCATAATTTTTTGTATATGTATATAACACATGGATATTATATGCTACGGCTGGTGGGCGGTGCTTCTTTTTGGCTCCACTGCTTTCAGCATGGCAACCGGGTCACAAATGTTCTCATTTTACAGCTAAACAGTACACTAAAATGTTTCTGAAAACATTTGAAACAAGACATAGGCAATGCAGTAACAGAGTCTCAATTCATATTTGATCAGCGTTGCCTAGTTTGACAATCTGACTTTAGTTCACGAGCACTAGCAGCTGTCTAGCAAATGCCATTAGAGGCACTATGACAAGGAGGAACTTTTTTTTCACAGATTATCTGCCTTATGTACTACTGTGAGGATATAGACACAGTTTCAGCAAATATAACCAAGAGTTATTTTCATAAAAGTTACTTACTTCAATTTTAATCCAAACCCCAATCCAATCTCCTCACGTTCCCAAATGAAAACTCAACAAACAGCACCATCTTGTGTCTGACCTTTGCAGCTACAGTAGTTGAGCCCCTCTGCCTCAGTGGGTTGGTTGGACTGCTTAGCTGCTCTGAGGCACTCCTCCAGTAAACCCCCCACCTCCTGGCTGTGCATTCTGGTAAACACTCAGAGGATTTCTTCCTCTCTCTGCCTCTTCGCTCTTGTTCCTGTGTTAGAGTGATTCAAGAAGGGAAGGGGGGGTTCCAATGAATGACCAGACTGCAGCTGAGAAAAGATTTCACCATCAGGTCTGTTTGTAAATTTCAAAACATGAAATATTGTATCAATACATGATTAAAACTCAAATAAATGAATAAATAATATCACAAAATTCTTGTTGTTGTTGTTTTTTTTATTCCAATTAAAATAAATGTATATGAAATTATAAGTTTATGGACAGTACATCTCTGTTGATGTGCCTGTTTTTCCATGAAACAATGTCACAGGTAAAAAAAACAACTTTGGTTTATGGTCCTTAAAGAGAGTCACAAAGTTTTTGTTTACCAATGATTTTATAGTGAGCCATACTTTCGGTTCATTGAGACATAATAATTTCATACTATATTATATCGTATCATATAATATGTAAAACAATGTGTAAAAGTTATTTTGAGTGTATGAACTCTCAGTCCAAGGACAACTTGCAAGTGAAGTGCACATAGAGAAAACACACTATATCGTGTAATATGCCAAACACAGTGCACTGACATTAAAGAAACTCCACACACATAACAGGGGTGAAAGTCACTGCTGTTTCTGTCGACACGTTTAAAACAATCCTTCTCACTCCAGTCAAACGCCAGCTTTACAAAACTGTATCATTTACTACAATGTCAGATTGATGAAACATTATTTTCATAAACAGCACCTACCGTTTCCTCAGGTTCTCCTCGTCTTCCTGAAAGGGCAGTACTATACTGTGCTGCCTTCAAATGCTGTCGGAAATATTGCAGTTTCAATTGCAATTGAGAGCGCTCGTTTTGAGTTCCCTTTGTACTTCTTAGTGACGAGATGTGTGTTTTCCGGTATGTTCACACACTGACTGTACTTTCCACATATCAGCAAGATGATAGGCCATGTGTTGTAAATTTGTCAATGAAAAAACAAAACAAATTACGTCACTGCTTATAATACCTTAGCATTACATTAGATTACATTATCACTCACTTAAAGAGGAACACCACCTAAATTAAGAATTCCAGTGTTATATGTCTGTGGCCCAGGAAAGTGTAATTAGTATTTGTGAACATGAGCTACTCTCTCTCAAAGCCAGAAACCAGAGAAGTAAAGCTCCATCTCCACCTACAGTAGCAGTGCGGTACGTTTCAGTTCAGTCCAGTAAGCATTTTTTCCGTCTACGCTGTGAAAAGTTGTGGATGGTACCAATGGGGCCATTCTGTACTGCCCCCATTTTTGGCCACCCCTCTGTTGGGGTACCTAGCACACAGATCTGGTACTAAAAGGTGGGGCTAAGAACACTGCAGTCAGCTGATTGGTCGATAGCATACTACTTTTGGTAAGGGCTAAGTTGTGGCTGGTTTTGTAACTGCTGTTCATACTGTGGCAAGTCTTATATATATTAGTAAACTACAACAATAAAAAAAATAAAGGATGTTTTGCTGCCTCTCGCAGCAGCTGTAGTCTGAGAAAAAAAAACCCTCAATTCACTGGGCCGACTGCCGGCAACTTTTAGGGTGGAATGTTTACTTATAATGTTACTCAATGCATGAGTTGATGAAGTGAATCCATCAGCACATCTTAAATTTCAATGTGACAGCTTTGACCATCACTATAGTTGTTTTTTTTTGTCTCTCTTGGATGACACAGACGTTTAGTAATGAGGGGATCTTCAAACATTTAAAATATATATATATACATACATACACATACATACAACAATTTCCCCCTGGGGATCAATAAAGTATCTCTGATTCTGATATATATATATATATATATATGTATATTTCGACCAGATTTTGTTAACTGCAGATAGTCTAATCCTCACTTGGAGAAAAAAAAAAGCATCGCGGAGTATTCCTGGGGGGTCTGGACGGCTGTGCTTACCTGGGAAGGACTCAGTGCACAAACCCACTATTTTTAAATATCCCATGGAGAGTGACTCTCACTACAGCCACTGTTTTTTGTTCTGAAAATGTCGAATTGTTCTCTGGACAAGAACTGAGGTGCAGATGTTCCATCTATGAGGAAATACAGTGAGTGCTGGACAAAGCAGTGTGTGACAAGAACCCCGCCCACATTTAAGGGTACTCTTTGTGGTGGAAACACTAAACATACCTAGGGTCTAGGTACCATGTCTGAAGGGTCACTTTTGGTTCCAAAGGTACCATATTGAAAGTGTTAGGTGGAAACTGGACTTAAGCCTCAAACTTGTAATGTCATTGGGTATAAAGTCTGGAGCTGCTCCACAGACAATGAATGTGAGCCTGATTTTGTGGACCCACAGAATGTTTTTTTTTTAATACACAAATGGCCTTTATAGACCCTATTACTGTGACATGGCGCAAACATTTCCATTGTTGAAAATTGCAGAGATATGCAAAATCTGCGAACTTATTTCTTTTTTTTTCTGTTGTCATTTCCTGCTGTAAATATGTAATTTAAAGATGTATACTGTAGTTCAACATGGTGGTCTGACCTATCTGACCTTTCTGCTGTGCTTATTTTATGTACGTTGTTGCTTTGCTAGCGTCTTTGATAAAGCAAATCTAACAGCATGGAAGCTAAGCAATGTACTGCCACTGATGGGTGCCACAGTGAAACGCACTAGCCACCTAAAAAGATCAATATCACTTTAAGTGTTAAATATATTTGAAATATTTTCCACACTTTACCTTACACACTAATGGATTGAGGCAGCAGTAGACCAGGAGGTAAAGCATTGCGAGGTAAAGCAATGAAAAAATTCTAAATATAGCGTACATTTAAACTGATTTTGATTTTTGTCGGTGGGCCTTTTCTTAAGGTGGCTAAAAACTAACTGAGGCAGCCTCTGCTCAGCACTGTTTCATTTTATGTACGTGATGTCAGGGGTTATTGTTAATAAACTGTGATTTAGTCACCTCAAAACATTCTCTTGTTACATAGAACATCTTTCCCAATTCATTGTCTAAGGAGCAGCTCCCTGACATCACAAATCTGAGTTTCAGCACTCTGGATTTTTTGGATTTGTAAGAAAATGTTTTATGTGTTGTAATATTTTGGGACTTTCTTAGACCATAGGAATAATATGAATGGCTTTGGAAAATACAGTCCCCCTTTAATCCCCGTGACCTGACCTGAACGCAACATGTGACGTCATGAAGGCAGCAAACCCCTACCCTGCAGCAACAGGTAGGTGTACTATATGTTTAACATATCACTATGAAAAAAAACCCGTGTATTTAATGTGCAAACTTCTTGATTCACCTAATAAACAGCAATGCAGCATAGTTTTCTCTAACTGCCATGCAGTGTTATAAATGCATTTATCAACAAATGCATGAACGTCCCATTCTGCCACTGCAGCAGCTGAATACTCCTTGGTTACTGTCATCCAGCCAAGTGCACGAGACCACTCGATAAAATGTTAAAAAAAAAATCTAAATGTATAAAGTGTATGTGAAGGTAGCACAAAACTGAAAGTGTAGACATGTGTGAGACTATAAAGAAATTCTACATTTTGTCTGACAAGACGCATTAATATCGCAGAGATACGGTGTGTGATGGTGCGTGGCGGCTCGTGCACAACAAGCATGTGCAGACTGGTGTTGCTGTGCTACTACCAATAGGCGGGACTGTGGCTCTGCAGTGTAACTGTGAGCCGCACAGCTGGAACAGGAGCAGAGGGCTGGCACGCGGTCCAGCTGCGACCAGATGACTGAGCTCAGCTGCTCCTAACACGCCAACAACACATCGCATCCATAAACTTGCTTCCGAGCGCGCCAGGAGATGACTTGTGCGCACTGTAGGGTTAATGTGCCGTAGGAAAGCCCCCGCATAGCCCATTCAGAGAGCATCAACCCAGCATCAACTCTGAGGAGGAATCCGAGTGCATCTTTTCTGATGACTTCTTGGGTTTCGATCATCGGCGCCTCTCTCCGCAGGACCCCGTGTTCCCACTCCGTAGCCGAACAGGCGTTTTGAGTTCGGTACGTGGTGCTGGTGATGTAACGCTTTGCATCTCAGTGCTCACTCCACAATTGTTCTCACTGTCGTCTCCTCTCCCAGAGCATGGGACCCTTCAAACTCTAAAGGTAAGACGTGTCATAACTTGCATGTTAGTAATCAGAGGCCGCTGGAGACTTTTTTTTTTACGCACGGCGGGTTTCAGAAGCTTTTCTTTCTCGTCTGGTCAGACACTTGCATTTAGAAGAAACCCACCACAGTGTAATGTTGCATGTGTCTTATTTCACTCCTACTTCACCTACAGCAGTGTAAATGTGTATTGTTGTATTGCAACAGTAGATACGATCATGCGAGGACTTGTGTTCTTGCACCATCAGCCACAGCAAATCAGAATTTCATGTTGACTCATTGGGGAGTCATGAGTGCGCTTTGTACTTTGTGTTGGAAGTACTTACAGCTGTTGTGCTCAGACTTGTACAAGGCACTGGTTGCATCAGTTATGTCTACTAGTTGAACCAAGGCCATAGCCATGGAGTCAAAAATGGGGAGGGGGGACCAAATCCCCTTGGATGTGTGGGTCTTGTTGATTTTATTTGTTATTATGATTACATTTTATATTCAACAGGTGTGCATGGGGTACGTGGTTGCCTGATGTATAGCATAGATTAAAGAAAAAAGTATACTTTTTTATCAAGAATTTGGGGGCGGTGGTCGTATCCTCAAATACATATTATAATTACTGCCTTGAGCTGAACTTATACAAGGCAGTAATTAAAACATATGTATTTGGGGGACACCCCCCCCCCCCACGCATGCTCAAAATGTCCCCCTCAGTGTATTGATAGAAAATGTAAGAAAGATTTGCTATGCTTCGAGAGGCAACCCGCACTGCTGTCTGAAATAATCATTAGCAAATGCAATCATAATCATAATTAAACTTTAAAAATGTAATTGTCAAATTAACATTGTTATCACTTCAGGTTCTAGTATTTTGATGTACTGCGTAACTAGTGCAAATGGCGTTGCTGTACCCCGGCTGACACCATTGAACATAAGTTACAGTTTGTAACTCTTATAAATTTTACAATAAATTACATTATTATCACCTTAAAGGTTACAACTGCAATATTCAACCACATTCAGAGTTTTACTGTGAAATTCATGCAGGTAAATATAGTAGTTTTAGAGAAGTACACTGCTAAATCACAGTAATATATGCAGTTTGACTGTGAGATTACAGTGAAATATAATAATGCCATGGGAGCATACTGCTAAATCAATATACTCCAATGTACACAGATGGTGAAGTTACAGTTAAATACATTAATTTTACAGGAACATACTGTTATATTACAGTGATGTAATAATATATGGCTTTAACTGCGTGGATACAATTGAATACAGCAATTTTACAAGAGCATATTGCTAAATCACAGTAATATGTTGGCATAACTACTTTGAGATCATAGTATACAGCTGTCATTTCACAATAATTTACTGTAAAAATGATACACTAACTTACTGTGAAAGTGATGCAACTAGTTGCTAAGAATTTTCTGTAAATGTATATATCTCTAGTGGACTGAAAAAGCAATTGGTTTTATCATTCTAGTAGGCTACCAAAAGTTTAATTTGTATTTGCGATACTATTAATTTATATAATAAAAAAATACTTGCCGTCCATGTATAGATACAATATTGCCACACAAAATATTATGATACTATTATGTATTGATATTTTCCCCACCCCACCGCAGACCCAACTTCAGGGTTTGGCCAATTGAAAATAGTCCCCCCAGTCATAAGTAGGTGATTACAGCCCTGAACTAAAGGAATTAATGGGTCAGTGCAATTATTTTCAGGAGGAGGAGCCTCACTGGGCATAGAGTAGAGAAGGAAGTAGGAATTCCAGGGAGTGGCTGGGTGAGTGAGAATAATGGTAAACAAAAATCTACTAGTGTGCAAACTTACTGCCTGACCCATCTGGTAAGAGAAGGGGAGGAGGGAAGATGCCTTGCTGAGGGTTCCATGAAATGGCACTAACACTGACCTTCAAGAACCCTGGCAGTTCTGCTAATAACCAATAAACACCTGTGTGCTGATGGGAATTCACCATGACTGGAGAGGCCACATCCCAGCTTATTGTGCTGGAATGTATTATCGTCAGCCTTGGCTGCTGAATTAAACATGGGAGAGGTCAGATTTAGCTCATTTTTTCCCCCCTTCAATCAGCCCACCTCATTACCTGTTCTCTTATACAGGCTGCAGCTGTCTGACTGCAGTGATTCGAGGTGATTTTTCTCCCACCGCCCTCAAAGCAGCGGGGATTAGGAGGCATCTTTGAGTGCCGGGGCTGCTGATTGCTTGCTCTGCGACGTCTTCGCTTATACTTCACCCCTTCCTTATCCGACCATGTTTTGATGTCAGAGCAGTGGGGATTTGACTTGTAAGCTGCGACTGGCTGCCTCTCTGGACATTTGAAAGTCTTAACAGCCGTAGTTGTGCAGCCCGTCACATCTTCGTGGGAGGCACTTCAGTGTTTTTTTCACGATTTGGCCAGAGCTACATGTTGCTGATTAACCGCTCCTATTTTGAATATTGGACAGGCTTGCTTTGTGTGCACTTGTTCGTCCAGATCTGCAGCTGATTCAGAGAATGCAAATGTGGCAGCCATCAACCGCATTATCATCATATGTGACAGACAAATCTGTCAGCGAAGCACAGATCAATAAAACAATTAGTCCAAAGTCCATTTTAGCAGCTGCCTCACAGTAACCTCTGTGATCTGCCCAACAAGTGAAGTGGTGCTTGACTTCAAAGGTACAGCTCTTTAAAAAGAAAGGATTTCAAGAATTCAGAGTGCCTCCAGCATGATGGTAAAATCAAGAAGTAGAGATTAAAAAAAAAAAACAAAAAACAAAAAAAAAAACATCCTCTGCACCTCTATTTTTCCCTCCTCTCCTCTGCTGCTGCAGTGCAATTACTTCAGGCCTCTGGAGCGGCCACCCTTGATATTTAGCATCACTTCCAGCCACCTCTGCCACCTCAACCTGCAGCAGTGTTGCACTTATCATGAAAGCCAGCCATTATTGGATCCATTGTGCAGGGGCTGCTGCTTTATGCCAAAGCAGCAACAGCGACAAATCTGGGAGGAGGAGGAGGAGGAGGAGGAGGAGGAGGAGAGGAAGGAATAAAACTAAGGCAGAGCAGAGGGATGTAGTGAGGAAGAGGTAAACAAAACTCAATATACACAGGAGACAAATCAAACAAAAAATTATTACAGAAAACCGACAGGAGTAGCTATGAATGTTCGCCATCATTGGTGTTTACGATCCAGTGCACATTTTATCTCTGTCCAGTGCCTTCCCTATCTCATCTGTTCCTCCACAGTCCCTGTACTCACCCCAGCCACCAGAGGAAAATGTTACATTACATTTGTAAATTCCATATGCATCATATAAACATTTCTATGATGTAGTGTATGAGCTGCGGCTTTTAGCCAGCAAACGTAGGCATTTCTTAGTGGCATGCTGTTGTTTTACCACTGTGGATAGTGCAAAAAGCTTTTGTCTTTTACTGAGATGCCACTGCATTTCTGTCTGGGATAATACCATGAAAACTGAGACACAGCTGCGATTCCAGGCAGGACATTGTTACGAAAAGCAGTTGGTTTTTTACAGAGACATTACCACATATCATGCCCGGATAGTGCCACAAAAAGCGGTTGTTTTTTACTGAGACATCAACAGCTTCTTCGGCCGTGATTGTGCCAAAGCCCACCATGATCTTTTCCTAACCACAACCAAGTGTTGGTGAAGATTTTCAGTCATCCAGGCCCTGGCAATCATAAGTGTTGTGTCGTAGGCAACTGGACTGGCTTGAGTTTCTTGAAGACGTTTCCCCTCTCATCCAAGAGGCCTCTTCAGTTCCTCTTCTCAGTTCTGAGAAGAGGCTTTTTTCAGTTCTGAACTGAGAAAGCCTCTTGGATGAGAGGGGAAATGTCTTCAAGAAACTCAAGCAAGTCCAGTTGCCCACGAAAAAGCACTTATTATAACCAAGTGGTTTTTGTGCCTAAACCTAACCACACGTTAATTACAGTGATGCTAAAACATAAAGGAATGTAAAGTTTTAACGTATCTGCTATGCAATAACATACAAATTAAACCTATCTGTTGGTTGCAGAAAGGTACACTGCCAACATTTTTTGTGGCAATTGGGTTGCTGTACTGTGGTCCTAATTACCTGTATCAACCCTTCACATTTTATCTACTGGATTTCATTCACACCAAGCATTATATCATAGGCACCAAGGCCACCTGAATTTATAATTTTTCTTCTAAAGTAAATGTTGGTTGTTTTTTTTTTCTTTTTAACACCAGAAAGAACATTTAAAGACAGGCAGCATAGGCAGAGCTGGAATCAGATTTAGTTTGGCTCCCACTAACTTGGCAGGACAACAGTGATCCTAAAACTACATCAATAAATGCTCTAATTGTGAGTGGATGTGACATTTCTTAATGTGAACAGGGTCACTTCAAAACCCGGTGGTTCAGTCCAGAAAAATAGTCATCTCTGCTCTTTCTCCGTCCCTCCTGGGATCTTTCTGCTTCTCTGTCACCTCTGTAACTGCAATGGAAGTGCACAGACCCTGTAAAATCTCAGTCTGTCAATGCACTGTGCTCTCCTCACCTTTAAAGGCATGGCTGGAGTGCAGAAGAGTGGGAGACATAGGAGGGGATGGTAGCTGCTGTTGAGGGAAAGTGCCAGACCTGAGGGGCTATAAATCAAGCTGTGGCTGGAATTAAATCAGTCAGGGGGGAACACAGTTGTGGACGAGCCCGGTGGGAGGGCGGAAACTCACAGGCTGCTGTATCTAAGCTGGTGGAGTGATTACTTAAGGCAGTGAATTAGCAGTGATGGTGATTGCATGGCTGTGATTAGTTCAGGTTTCAGTTGAATGGCATCACTCTGTGCTACAGGTGTTAGGCGTGCCTCATTTTCAGAAAGGGAATCGAAAAATGAGTGGAACGCCTGTAGCATCCTGCACCTGCAATCAAAAAAAGTGCATACTTTACTTTTGTTTTCATCAATCTGGTTGCAGTCTGTAATCTCTCATACTGTTCTATCT